CGATCGCCGCCGGGCAGCACCGAGCTGCTGGCCCCCCGTCAGCCACGCTCCTGAGACCCTTCCCGTGCCGGGAGCGAGGCAAGACGCCGAAAACCTGCCGCCTCAGTTCAAACTTCAGCAGTTGCTTCGGTGCTTTACAAGCCTGGCAGGGGTAGGAGCAGCAGCAAAACCTCCTGACCTCTCCTCCTTCTCTGCTCCGTTTTCCCCATTTCAGGCACACAGCCTGGTCTGAAGGGAAAACTTCCTCGCTGTACATGAAGCCCCTAAGTAGCACTTCAGGCTGAGAAATCTAATTAGTGGATTTAGTCTATCTGCAGCAAAATAAAGCTCTTTAGAGATCTAAAAAGCCTGGCAAACAGCCAAGACTCACTAAAAAATTAATTTGATTTTAACAGGCATGAAGCATTTGTAAAATTAAGAAAATCCTTTCTAAACTCTCTGGCTACTTGATCTTTCTGATCACTCAGTTTAGGGCAAAAGAGGAAAAACCCACAGTGCTCGTGTGCTAATTGAACTCCCGAGCTTTTACCCTTCCAGCAGCCCGGCAGGCTCAGACGGGAGAGGCCCCCGGTCTCCCTGCGTGTCGGGAAGCACACGCGTGACCCATGACCACGAGCCCGAGGCTCCCTCGATGGAGCCCATCGCCTTCTGGTTTGTCAAATCAGGGAATGACACAAACAAAGTGTCACGGTGACGTTTAACGTGGAGGAACTTTCAGTCTCCACTGAAAACCTGGAAAACAGGAGCATTGCCGGGCTCCACCGGCTCCCCCGTGGGACTAGAGCACACCCTGGAGCAGCCTGGTTCTGTGGACCAGGCCGGTGGTCCCAAGCACATTGCCGACGTGCCCTGGTCCCACGGGGCGCGTTTACCCATCCAAGGATGGGACAGAGGTCTGCCCATCAGCAAACACTGACACAGAGGCTGTTGGTGCTCCTGAGCAGCCAGCGGCCCCAGCCCCTGCTCTGCCTGCGAGTCAGGGACGCCAGCTCCCTGCCCAGCCTCCTGCCTGCCGCCGCGGCACCCAGCTCCAGCCCTCCCGGGCTCACACCGCCAGGAGGATCCAGCGATCCTCGCCGCAAAGACAACTCTGGCCCTGGTGAGGCAGAGCACACATTCGCCTCCCTGTGTTTCACTGGGGCCCGCGGGATGGGGGCACACGCCTAAGGCTCTGCTCGCACATGCAGCACCTCAAGAAAAGCCAAGCGGGCGCTGGCGATGCTCAACGGGGCGCTGGGAAGCACAGAGCTCCCTGCCGCAGCCGGTCGGCGCGGGCACACAACCCGCTCTGCTGAACGCGGCAGGTGCAGGCAGCTTTGCAGGCAGGGGGGCCCGCGGGGCCCGCCCGCCGGCAAACGCGGGTGCAGAGCCCCCAGCCCGGCATACACACCTGCATCTCCCTGACGCTGCTGGGGTGGTAGTACTCGCTGTGCTCGGAGGCCAGCAGTGCCTGGCACAGGTTGAACTTCTGGAAGTCGAGCAGGGATGAGCACTTCTCGTCCCGGATCTCCTCCTTCGCCATCCAGTAGACGGTGGCGAGGACAGCCACCTTCGCCGGGTTCACCTCCACCTTGATGACTGAGCGCAGCTCTGGGTGGCCGCGGATGCGGGTCTCAAAAGCCAGCTGCTCCCGGTTCACCGCCAGCGCCTGGCGGTGCGCGCCGGAGGTGACGTGCCGCAGCAGGGCATGGCGCTGGAAGTTGTCCGTGCCCACGGTAAAGGCGTTCTCTGCTTTACCATGCTTGTTCTTCACCAGCGCCTGACGACACTCTATGCAAAACATGAGTTTCCTCTCATAGTCAAACTCCAGCCAGGTAAATTCCTCCTTCCAGTGCTCATTGAAATAGCGCTTACACTTTTTATTGGAATTGGAAGTTTCCCCAGCTGGCTTTTTCCCTGGAGGCACCATATTGCTGTGGCTGGGAAATCAAACGCTACAGTTGAACTGAAACGTGCCTTGGAGGAGCAGCCTCTACATTTAATTTAGTAAGAAGGTCTATTACAACTCTCCTGGTCCGACTGGAGATGAAAGAGACACAAGGGAAAGGGATTAGGGCCCTGCAAACCTCAGCCTCTGCTCGTCGCTTATTCTTGGCTGCTAACGAAGAGCTGCGGTGGCACGGCGGCGGCAGCGCTCAGGACAGGCAGGGCTGTGCGACAGCCCCGGCACCGCGTGGGGGGATCCCACCGAGCGCCTCGTCGGTGTCATCGGCAGCTCTTAGTGTAGTGGTGGGACTGGCACACACGCACGGTCCTTCTCGTAATCACAGACACCCAAACGCGCTTCTCATCAGACCAGACCTCCATGCTGCACCCGATGCTGGGGAGGTATGGAACCAGCCCTGAACCAAACGTCTAAAAATGAGAGTGTTCAGCCCCCCGAGGAGCAGCGCCCGCTGCCGACGGCGAGCGCCAGAGACCCAGAGCTGGACAAGGATGACTTGGAGGCCAGCTCCGAAACACGTGCTTGCATGCACACGTGTGCGTTTTCATTCCTCCCTTGCTTGTCTCCATCCCAGGGAAGTGGCAAAGCCACGCTGCGTCCCGTGGCAGCGGGGCCGTGCTCTGCACCGTCAGCACCCCGGCCCGGCATCCCTCCCCAGGGGCTGCTGATGCACAGGACCCACCCCAGCCAGGGCTCCCAAACACCGACTGGAGCCTGCGGCCGCAAGCACTCACCCACCTATTTAAACCAGGCAGCTGAAGTATTTAAGCATCCACTTAACTCCCTCCCTGTACTTAAGCCCCACTCAGTCCAATCCTCGCATTCTTCCATGAACTGGATTGAAAAACCAAACTGAGCCTTGATAAAGGTGGTGGGAGGAGGAGGAGGAGGAATCGAGCAGAGGGTGGGAAAGGGAGGGAACTGAAATGGAAAGAAAATGGACATTCAGCAGCAGCGCAAGCCAGGGAATACTGCCAGCGTGACTTGCGGAGACACCCACGAGGAACTTGGGCTTTTTCTGAAGAACAAACCCCCAAGCACCAGAGCCGTTACCACAGCGCTCAGGAAGAAGCGGGAAGCCTCACAGTTTAGGCATCAGAGCAATACCCTGACTCCCAGAGCTGCAAACACACGCTCCCGCGGAGCAGGGGTTCCCCTCGGGGTGCCCTGAGCCATGCTGGCTGGGTGGCGGTGGAGCCTGTCACCGGCCCTTCGCCCGGCCACCCTCCAAAGGGCTGAGGAATGTCCTTTACTGACAGCGGGAGGGGAAGGGGTGACCGTCCTCAGCCCCTGCGCTTTCCCCAGGGTGCCCAGGAGCAGCCGCCCGTCCTCACTCGCTGCCTTGCTGGTCCCCGCAGGTCCAGCCCCAAGCCATCAGTCTTCTCTCGGCTCTGGGGTTTCTTCTGGCTGCGCCTGGCTTTCCAGGGACCCTCTCCTTCTCCTCCCCATCAAACTCCTCCCGACGGAGGGTGGGCGTACCAAAGCCTTCTGCCACACTAGACGGGAGAAGTGCTCCTGCTTTGCTCTTCCATCATGGAAACCAGAGTAACCTGGTAAAAAGGCATCAGAGGCCAAGAAACCCCCTCTCTGTCTAGAGAGAAAACATGCCAGCCCCCGGGCAGGAGCTGGCAGAGGAGCAGGCAGCACCGGCATCTCCGAGCCCAGCCACAGCCCGTGCGCCGGCCAGGCACCACGCACCTCGCCCTGCAGAGGCGGGTGCTGGGGGGCCGGTGCGGTGCGGACCCTCGGAGCCCATATTTCCCATTGCTGCTGCCCAGGTGCGTCACGGCCCCAGCTCCCTGAGCAGCCCCATCCCGGTTCACCAGGCACGTGTGCATCTTCAGAGCATTACCCTTCTGCTTCCAGCCCTGGGAGCTCTCACCCTGTGCTCTTCCAGCAAACTGGGAGCCGCGGGCCAGCCCTGCGAGGGCAGGGGGACAGGGACAGAAGGACCCGAGCAGCCAGCCCAGGTCAGAGTGGGGCTTTGCTAGTCCAAAACTCGGCTCAGTCAGCATCAAATGCTTCCAAGGAAGCAGAGAGAAACCCCAGGACACAGCTCGCTGGTCCCCTCTGCATCTTGCTCTTGGGCTATTTAACGCGGTTTGGTTTGCTTCCCAGAGCCAGGTCTCCCGCCTGGTCCCACACCTCAGCACGGTGCAGCCGAGAGCACCCAGGGAACGACTCCCACAGCTGGGGGGTCCCGACAAAGCTGCAGCCGCTTCCTCGGGCCAGTCCAAGAGCTGCACCGCAGCCTCTGACGCCGGCCAGAGCAGCGTCTCCTCAGAAGCACGTTAATTAGGAAACTGACGGACTTGCCATACGAGAGTCAAAGCCCAGAGCCGTCTTGCAGTCTTGTTTCCTCTGCAGTTGCCAGCACCCATCAGACGTTCCCCAGGGACGCAGGCTCTGCCAGGGTTGGGATTGCGCCGGTGTCCCTGCCGTGCCCTGGCGAGGCTCGGGGCTTGCCCCCGAAGCAGGAGGAGGTGCCCACGCAGCAGGGACAGCTCTGCCGTCTTCACCAGCCTCGCTCATGGTTCACGTGCCCAACCTGCCCCGGACCCACCGCCCTGATCCCCGTGCCGGGCAGGCGTCGGGCTTGGCGCGCCCCAGCTGCAACCAAGACGGTGCATGGCCCTGGGGGGCAGTCTCCTCCGTTCCCTCCCTCTCAGTGACCCCATTTGCTCCCAAACCCATCCCCACCTACACACAGTCCCCAGCACTCGCTCCAGCAAAAACCACTACCTTGGAAAGAAAAAAAAAAGCAGCAATTAGTGTCTGGGGCGCACGGGGCTGGGAGAGCTCAGGATGGAGCAGAGCACCACGGCGCTGTGTCCTGCACTTCCCACAGCGCCTGCCGTGCACCAGCACCAGCCCTGGGCACCCTTCGCTGCGCACATCGCTCCCCGGCCGCTGCCGGCCACGGGAAGAAGCAGCGCTGCATTTCCTTGGGGACCCAGCAGCGTGCAGGAGGCGGCGGCTCAGGAGCGGGGGCGACACTGCCGTACCCCCGCCAGCCTGCTGCTCCCCCAGCCGGGGCAGGAGCACTCTCTGGGGGGAAGTTTGGGCAGGATCGACTTGCAAGAGGACGAGCCGCTGCTTTGACCCTTGGTGCATCACCCCCGGCTGCTGGTCACCTAACGCCCGCCCGGGTGAGGGTGAGCAGAGCAGCATGCGACCCCCAGCACCCAGCCCTGCGTGCCCGACCCGCACGCCCACCCTCCCCTACATACGTACCATTTAAAGGCTGCCATAAGCTTTGGGGTGAGGGGGCTTGCAAACTTCCCAGATTTTGGTTTTTAAATAGGAAAAAAAAAACTAATTAGAAAACCAAACCCAGTCAAATAATGCAAAGCCACAAAAAAAAATAAAAAAGCTCGCCGGGAGGCAGGGAGAAGCAGCGCACCCCCCACCCCGGCAGCCCCGCTCAGTGCATGGGGGCGGGCGCCCCACCGGTGCTGCCGCGGCCCCGGGCACGGCGGCTG